TTTTAGCATTTGTGGACCACAGAGATTTTAACTACTCAATACTGCCATTACTGCACAAAACCAGCCACAGTCAATACCAACATGAAGAGACTTATCTATGTTCCAATAAAATGTTATTTGTAAAAGTAAGCAGACAATGGTAGGCTGTAGTTTACTGAATCTCAGATCAGCAATCTGCATCACCTACTTCACCCACAACTGCCATCATCCCAGACCACTACACATCACTTCACCTAGTTCCCTGAAGGTCACTGTTACTCTCTCCAATGCTACTCCTACCATAATTATTTTTCTGATTTCCACTTTATACTCCAGGTTTTGAGACTGAAGTGTGTTATGGTTAGGGGAAGGAGAGGGACTACAAGAAGAAAACAAAATTTGTGAATGTAAAGTTGTCCCTGAGTCCCTGAGCCCTAAGCTTCACAGCTGTAGGGTAAACTCACCTCTGTCCCCTGAGTGCTCTGACATTAAAAATCCATTCAATACAAATGTCAGGAACCACCTTGGTCACCTTACAGACAATCCTTGCTGACCTCTTAATTCCCTAAGCTCCTGCCCTCAGAGATTAGTCCTCTGTCCCACCTCAGCCATGTGGTCCTAAGCTTTCATGGGTCAGCAGCTTCACACCTCTGTAAAGCTCACTTTCAGCCATCTGACTCCTCATAGGCTGTCTCAGCTAGCCAGTGGAGCTACTCAGAGTCTAAACAGCATTATTCTGCATATCCTGCTTCTGTGCCAGAGGCAGAGTGGAGATTGTTTTGAACCGGTTCATGGTGGTCTTTTTTTTTTTTTTTAATTGGAGTGGCCATCAATGATCTACAGGAAACTAACATTATTAGAAGAACTGTCCAAAGCATCAGCAGCTGGCACTAATAAGGAGTTTGGAATTCCTCAAAAACTCCCATTCCAGAGCATTACCACAGTTTGATTTATATCACACTTCCCATGTCAGGGTTGGAGCGAGGAGCCCATCTGAGAGAAAAAGCCCACATCCATGGCATTTGTTACAAAAATCATTGGCAATTTTTTAATATCAGTTGCCTGAGGCTCAAATATCAACTGAGGCAAAATAAAAAATCATCTAGAAACTTAAAAGGAAGATCTGTGGAAGAAATACCTATATATCAGACTTTCAAACACTTAGATATATTCTTGAGGGAATCTACAAGGCTGTGTGCGTGCACAGCCCTATGCACATGTCTGGGAAAGACCAGAGGCCAGTCTCTCTTCTCCGGCTGATGCCCTGCACAGACATGTAAATTTCCTTAATATTGAAGGCACGTTTCCAACACATACAGTCTTTTGGCAAAGACTAGGAGACATGATGATTTAAGAAAATGTCTGTCCAGTCATTAGCTGACCACTGAGCTAAATGAACAGAAACTTCTGTGGCCAGATACTACAGGGCATATAAGACTTTACCAAATTAATGCCAAAATGTCCTTATGCAAACAAACAATAAAAAAGGCAATAACAAAATAGCCTTATGGCAGGATCTATTTTCCAGAGTTGACACATTATGTCATCTGAGATATCTACTTTTCAACCAAAAAAAATCATAAAACATTCCCAAAAACAAAAACTAGAAAAATATGACCCCCACACAGGAAAAATATGCATAAACACTTTTTATGGAAGACGCACATGTTGGACTTACTGGACAAAGATTTTAAAACAGCAATATATAAAGAATTATAGAAAACCATATCTAAACACTTAAGGGAAACAATAAAAATGTCTCTCACTAAATAAAAAGTAACAATAAAGAGAAATTATGAAAGAGAATCAAATGTAAATTCTAAAGTTGAACAGCACAATAAGTGGAATAAAAAATTCTCTCACTGATCTTAGAAATAAAATTACAAATGCATGCCAATAAATCAGTTAAGGTAGATGAATTTTTAGAAAGATCAACTATTAAACATGACTCAAGAAGAAATAGAAAATAGACTTATGACCAAGAGATTGGCTTTATAATTTAAAAAACCCACAAAGCATATGGATATAAGCAAGTATGGTTTACTGACTGTAATAACCCAGGGGACATCTTTAGAGATTAGAAACTAGAGCGTACTCTCTAGCCCCTAAAAATTCTGTCCTTTGCACACTGAAAGTACAGCTACATAGACATGAAATTATCTAAAATCTCATATGACAAAAGATCAGTTTAAGGATTTGTGATAAGGATCTTGTCATTTAAGTAAGTCTAGACATACATGAGGTTCATTGGGTATATTTCTCCCAATGTAGCTTCTTGAATAGTTTCTTTTAATCCTGAAGCCCTGTGAACTTTGAACAAATTATCTGCTCCTCTATATTCCCAGACTGTAATGATGAGACACAGAAAGAACAAAATACTACAGACCCATTCGCTTAAAAAGAAAAAAAAGGAGGAGGAGGAAGCATTAGAAGCTGAAATCTTTGTGGACACATTTTCTTAGTTCTCTTTATGCCAAGGGGGAACATATGTTTTGCTTTGGACAAAATTCTGCTACCTGAGAATATTCCTTTCTGGCTCTATCTTCTACCATCTGAATCATTCCTCCTTTTCCCTAAGATTGAACTATATCTGTGGATGAGGAAATTACTCAGCCCAATTCTGTTCATACAATTCTGGAAGGCCTTGAAATCTCTTTGCATTCTGAAAAGCAATGTCACTGTCTTTAGCCCCCACTGGTGTACTTCTAGTAATATGGTTCTATTGAAAACATTGTTATTTCCTATAAGCCACTGATGTTTACTCAAAAAAACAAAAGCCCACCCATTAATTCCTTTAAACATTGTCCATGATAACTTTGGCAGAGAATTGGGTTACTGTGCGAATAATGCTGTTAAGATACCGAGTATCCCTGGTAGCTAGCTGAGACAGTATATGAGGAGTCAGATACCTACAAATAAGACCATAGAGATGTAAGGCTACTAACACAAGAAAGCATGGGGTCACATGGTTGAGGATCACATGGTTGACTAAGAAGTCAGGCAAGGAAGGATTATCTATAAGGTGTAATCTAGGTGGCTATTGAAAATTTGTGTTCAAAATAAAGTACTGTTTTAGTGTGGGAAATTCTCATGAGGCTATATCGAAGTGATTTAACTGTGGGAAACTGAATATAACACTGAAATGAATTTGTTCAGATATTTATATTAATGATTATTTCAATGTTTTCGGATATCATTTCAGATGACTCAACATGAATGAATGAAAGTCATGCTAAAAGATGAAAAAAATATATTCAATAACTTGTTAGAGTTGGAGCATAGGTAGGTATGCCCTGAAGCTCATGAAGCATGTGTGTCAGGGGTCCTCAATACTTGAATGGTTCTAAAAGCATAGAAAGTATAGGGGTGGAGAATTTTATGCTTTTAAAATAAAAATTAAATAAGCCATCATTAAGACCAAACATGGGAAAGAATGCATTCTTCCCATCAAAAGCAAACAAAAAAACCTCCAACCAGTCACACTTAAGAATGGAGATTGGGAAATTCTGCACAAAACATGAGCAAAGAACTTAAATATCACAATTAGAGAACAATATGCCATAACTGAGCTAGGATGAATTAAATATTAGGTAATCTATTAAATATAATCCATCCAATGAACAGATTCAAGAAAAATCATTTGATAGTTTTCATAGAGGCCAAAAAAGAATTTGATAGAAGTCATTATTTATTCTTGGTTACAAAAGAAAACAGATAAATTTAAAATGGATGAGTATTCTTGATCCAGGGGGAAAAAATTCTGAGATAAAACCAAGATAATATTCTCTATCCCATTCTCATTGTTTCTTGCAATTAGATGAGTGGAAAACATGGAGTTATGAAAATTGAGGGAAAAACTATCATTATTTATAATTATGATGATTATGTAACTGGAAAACTGGAAGAATCATCTAAAAACTATTATGACAAATTCTAAAATTAGGTACAAAATACACAGAAATCAAAAACTTTCAAATGCACATTTTTTTAAATTGAAAAAGACATAAGCAAAAAAGTCCTAATTTTAAATAACAATTAAAGGACAAAATAACTAAGAAAAGATTAACTTAAGAAATGCTCAAAGTCTAAACCAAGAAAACTACAAAACATCACTGAACACACACGTGTCCTGAATAAACAGGAAAATGTAACTTCCTTTTAGATTCAATATGGCTTGGTATAAGCATAAATTGGCACATTACTTAGAATAACCTGTAATTATTGCCACGACTTACAAATGCACATACCTTTTGATCTAATAACTCCAATCTCAGGAATTTACCCTAGATATCATCTTGCTCCTATCTGAGAATATGTATATATTAGATTATTCATTGCACAACTGTCTATAATAGCAAAAGATTGCATAATATCCAATTTAGTGAATTATGCTATATTCATAAAACAAAATAAGATGCTGCAGTGTAAAAGAATAAAGATGTCTATGAACAAAACTCCACAATTGTTGGCAATGTTTACTATTGGAAATAAGTGCATAGTTCTTTTAGGGAAGGAAAAAAAATATCAACATTTAAGCATAATGCCTACATAGAAATAAAACTCGAAATTCTTATGGGCAAATGTCCAAACAGTCATTTTGAATCATTTTATTCATTGACAGATTTTGTCTGAGTTTTATTGTGAAATATTCTAATAAAATATTTTACTGTTCAAAAAGCAAAACATGCTCATGACTTAAAATATTGTACAGATTTGCATAAGATATAAAACAAACATACTCTTAACCCATCCGGTCTCATTTTTCAAGACTCTTTTGATTAGCAGAAGTAAGTCTAAAAACTATTTCTTGGTTTATCACCTTCATTCCAGGAGTAGTATCCCTATTGAACCCCACTTTGAATTTTTTGCTGGCCAAATCATTACTATTTCTAGATGCTTATCATGTATTTTGACTTACCAACTTTAAATAGTACTTCTTGATGCTCTGCTATGCAAGAGAAAGAAACTTACCAATGGACAAAACTCAACAGGATTAGACATTAATTCTAAGAAACGGTTACCTTGTTCATAAAGTAGCTTCATATTGGAATCTTTGCAGGCAACCAGATTGCTGAGTAGGGCAATCACACTTTGCATGGTATTACCCAGAATGCTCTCCTGATGTTCCTGTAATAAATTATAGTCTCCATTACAACCACATAGAAATAAAATTACATCATCATAAAGACAAATGAGATCAATACCTCCATTCTTCCCACAAGGTTAAAGAATTATTTTGTGCATTGTAATGACTCATATCCTTCTGGGTTAAGACTCTTGCCATCAGGAAGTTAAGTGAGCTGAGAGGCTGAGTAAATTACTCAAAAATCAGCCAGAGGTTTGCATGCATTCCTTGCCCAAGAGCTGAGCAAGAGCCACATGCTCCTTTGTGCTTTAGGTGGGTAATAAGTGAACAAAAACCAAGCATATGGAATTTAGAAGACCATACTTGAAAGTGAGGTTGAGATCACAAAAGAAAATTACTCTAAGAAGTATTCCCACATTTTCCAGATTATCCTGGTACTGATAATTGCCCACTTTAGCCTTGTACATCCATGTTGTAATATGATTTATTTTATTACTGCTTCAGTGCAATAAACTACATTTGGGACCGAAAGAGTAGATTTTGCTTTCTTTACTACACTTTTCTTCACTGCAGAGTGTAACTTAGGTCCTTAAAAGAATGTGGAAATTGAGTAATTCTTCAGTTTCTTCTCCTCAATTTAAGAACAAATAAGGTAATTTCTTAGTAGTTTGTAAAGAAGCAAAAAAAAAAAAAACAACATCTTGGGTTTTTTTGGTTCCCTTTTTCATTCCTCTTTTTTAAGAATTAAAAGCAGATTAAATTAGATTTAAAATTTTTCATGATTCAAAAATGAAGAAAAATTCATCAAACTCCAGAAGTAGGATGAGGCAATGAGATGCACAAGGTACAAAACTCAGGCAGTCTTCACGTATAGGCTCACACAAGTATTCATTGAGAGCTTCCAGAAGCCTAGCTGGTCCCCTGCCCTGTGACCCCTCTACTGACAGCTAGGACCATCCCAAGAAGTAACAAGTATGCCAATTGGGTAGGCTCTATTTAAGCCTTTTCCTATTTTTCTCTTTCTTCCTCATACATAGAGAAATGTATGGTTTACTCTGATTTTAAAAAATATAAATCACATTTATTAATTCATTTAATATAATGAATGAATAGCTATTTTGTGCCAGGTACTGTTCTAGGAAATGGAGATGTACCAGTGAACAAAAACAAAGTCACCTGTTCTCACGTAATAGACCACAAACAACAATATGATAAGTAAATTGTCCACTGTGTGAGAAGGTAACAATGATCTGGCAAAAAAAAAAGGGACAGCAAGAACACAGGCTTGAGAAGGCAGTGGGGCAGTTCATGATTTTAAATTAAGTGGTCAGGGTGAGACTAAGAAACTATCACTTTTAAGAAAATTTTATCTTTTATACATGCTAAAACATCTTGGAAGTGCTGGGATTAATTTACGCTAAATAAACTCCTTTCAAAATAACTTTATAATTATGTTACAAAGATAGCATGCAGTTTCCAAAGATCTTCACATAGATTTCCTGATACCAGTCAATATTACCATCTTACCTAACCATAAAAGCAAGAAATTAACATATAGTACTAATAACTAAATTACAGACTGTATATAAATTTCACCATTTTTTCCCTAATGTCCTTTTCTGTTCCAGAATCCAATACAGGATCCATGTTGCCTCTGGGGTTAATTCATTTTTGCAGCAAATATTTACTAGGTGCCAACTGTTCTAGATTCTGGCTTATATCAGTAAACAAAACAGAGAAAACAAACCACCAAAATTCTTCCCCTATTGTTTACTTTGCAGCAGAAACAGAAGACAATAAACAACAAACATCATAATTACATGACATGTCAGAAGGTAATGGGTGCTATGGGAGAAAGGAGAACAGCAAAAGGAGTTTGAAGGGAAGCTTGCTGTTGAATACAGCAAGCAAGCACAGTTCCTTCAGAGGACAACATTTGAGTCAAGATTTGAAGCGAGGGGTGGTGTTTTTCTTTTAATACACAACTAGGTATACTAGCTAATTTGTTTTAGGATTGTATTCTAAAGTGACATTGCCCCATGAGTGACATCTTTGTCTGATTTTAGTATCAATGTCATGCCTGCCTTGTCCATCCATTTTATCGCATAAGTATTTATTGTACACCTAATCTGAGAGATTTGGCAGAAGAACTCATTCATAAAAGCTCTGTATATCTTTGCTAGATCTTTAAAATTTTTTAAAATCTTCTACGTGGTTTATCTATACCTTACCTCAGTTTGGGTTAAATCCATTTTCCTCAAAAATTATCTATAATGTCTTGAGTTTTCAAAGACATTATAATAAAATCACACATAGTTTTCACTTATACCTTCACAAATCTTCTCTAAAACCTATTTATATTGTCCTTTACCATATCCACTATCTTGTGGATCAGACTCACCAACACTTTGTTTATACTATTGGACTTTTCAAGAAACCATCTTTCCATTTTTTGCTTTGAGTGAGTCATTATGAATGTCCACAAATGTCCCCCTCCTCTCTGAGGTATACAGTAGGATGGCATTTCCGTGCCTGTTTGTAACTGGAAATGACAATGAGACTTCCTTTGGCCAATTAAACTCATTTGGGCAGAAGCTCTAAGAAGTCAGTGAGGGTATCATCATCCTATCTTTCCTCTTGCTCCTGGGACCTTCCAGGTGGTAAAATGTTATGTATAGATGTGGTGTCCCCCAAAAGCTCACGTCTGAGACAATGCATGAAGGTTTGGAGGAGAAATGACTGGCTTATAGCCTTAATATAATCAGTGGATTAATTCCTACTGGGATTAACTAAGTGGTAACTGGAGGCAGGTGGGGTGAGGCTGGAGGAAGTGGCTCATTGGGGCATGGCTATGGGGTATATATTTGAATCTGGCAAGTGTAGTCTCTCTCTGCTCACATGATGTGAGCTGCTTCCCTCTGCCACACTCTTCCACCACGATGTTCTGCCTCACCTTGAGCCCCGAGGAATGGAGCCGGTTTTCTATGGACTAAGACCTCTAAAACCATGAGCCCTCAAATAAAATAAAATTGTTCTCCTAAAATTGTTCAGATCCTTTAGTCACAACAGGAAAAAAAAAAAACTGACTAAAACCTAGAGTCACCAACAGCCTGGCTCCCAGAGTAAGAACATGAAGCAGGCCAGGAGCCCCTTAATAGACACCTGGTTTCCAGAGCTTACAAAAATGCCAATACTGCATATGGCTCTGAAACTCTTCTCTCAACTGACTTGTACCTCCCACTGATGAGAGCTACTTGATTTCATATGGGTTTTACCACCTACATCTTGGTTTAATATAAGACCAGCTGGTTCTTTCCAAATACTGATGCCTAAAAACTTCTAGCTTTAGAAGCATCCACTTAAGAGCACTTTTATAGTGGATGTTAATGTTTGACTATTTCTCTGACACCAGCTTAAGAAGATTAATGTGAAAGCAATGGTCTGCCACCAGTTTCATCTAATTATTCTTACAGTTGGTTGGAAGGAAAGGGTGATTAATAAGAACCAACATGACACTACATGTTATTCATGATAAAGTAACTAATGATACATAGAAAACTTATACTTGTGAAGAAAAGTAAAGCTAATAAATCTTTTATTTTTGGTCTTGTTTGGTAAAATGACACATACTGTTCCTTATTTAAAGGCCCTTCTATCAGAAAACATGGGTCAGTCTCACTGGAGATAAACCTATTTGATAAACATGGTGTTTTTTTAATGACTAAATGTGCCTTTTCTATGATACTCTAGACAATATTTTCACTCATTCTGAAGCCAATACTTCTCCTGTGTTCTTGGGGTGAGTGCCACATACAGATACAGGTATTTTCTTTTGGTATAAAAGCCCTTGAAATCTATTGCCTTCAGACACTGAGAACCCAGGATCAGATCCTAGCAAACAAGGTCCTGGATGCTGGCCTGAAAATCTTGGATGACTACAGATAGAAGGCTGCTGCAAACCCTACCACTCAATCTACAGAGGTGTATGACACTGAGGCATGCCCTGGTCACCAGCACCCCCACTAGTGTTATTACTAGGGGTATTCTGTGCATCATTACCAAAAAATATCAATTTATATCTCAGTCTTATCTGAATTTGATGCACAGAATAAAGAAGAAATTAATCATCCTGCAACCACAACTGGTTTCCTTTCCTAGACATTATTTAAAACATTATTTTTTGTTGTTGTTGGGTTTTAAACCATTCATAGATCCTGAAATTTATTCAGCATAAAGTGAATTCTATTTAAAAAATTACAGAATCACCTTTACTTGCTTTTCCTCTTATAAGCATCCATTATTCTAAACAGCACAGATGAGGGAGACTTCAGAACACAGTAACTGCTCAAGATGAGGACATGGTCCTCTAGGGGAACTAAGACAGCTATTGCTAAGGACTAGATCATAATTTCCCCAGAAAGAATGCTAAATACATGTGAAGAGCAGTTGAGAAGGTGTAAATGTGAATTAAACACACTTCTATTAACTTTTATCAAATTGAGTTATTTCATCTCTCTCAGCAACTTTAATAAGATTTGTTCTTGTTCACAACCATATTAGCCTACAAGGGATAAATTATGCATTGAAAAGCACCACATTTACTTGTTAAAGTCAGAGTGGAAGATTATACAAAGGGAGAAACATGAGAGTAAATATGTGGGACAGAGTTCCTCTTGGGCACGTCTGAGAGACTGGTGGAAGGAGATAAGGGACACATAAGTTTGATTCAAAGACTGCAGGCTAATGTTGGAGGGGAGGGATGGTTCTGATCAAAGACTGTGTCATCATTAGATGCTCCTCTGGGACAGCCCCTTCCTCTCCTCCAAATTTACGTCCCAGGGTAAAGGACAATAAGTAAAATCCTTTTTTTTTCCCCTCCAATCCCCGTAGCTCACTAATAAAGCATGGAGTCCATAGCACTGGTATCCTGGTATGTTTAAGGAGAGTGGGGGGAGGGAAAGGAGACAACAGAAGCAAGTGATGACCTGCAACAGGACCTTCAGAACACAGGGTTTAAGGCACAGGGTCATTCTTGTCATGT